AGTTCCACGAAAACTGCCGCGCGCTGATCGAGGTTTCTTTATTGCTGCTTCCGTGTTTTTCTAATTGCCTGCGACCGTGCTCCGATTCTGGGCACGTCACTACGGATGTCACGGTTTATTCACGCGCGGAATTAACTTTGCGCGATTGTCTTGAACTGGGCGTTGTTCCCTTTTTCGAATGGTACATGTATTGCTAGTGGTAGCTAGGACTATTGGATAGGTTGAAACGACCTATTTCGAATTTCTGCTTTTACATATATTGAGAAGACACGTGCGCCTTCTTGACAAATTGTTAAAGTAATTGAGAGAACAATGCGGAGATTGAGATTTTTTTTTCTCATTTGCGTAGGAAAGTTCAACATTCACTGATTGGTACTGAGTTTCTTTGTTTACAGTTATTTAAAGGTAATCAATGATACTCTAAGAAGCATTACTAAGGAAATTGATTCAGTAATGCACAGACTGAATTGCAAATGATTCAAAATTTCAGTAGAAGTGTTCATAGATTTTCTACCAGAAAATTAAATAAAGTCAATTTGACTGTTGGGTATGTAGTCTCAGTGATAACACAGAAATGTTTTCAGATGATCCTCGTTTAACACTAAAACTACCGGACGGGTCAAATTGACCCACTTTAGAATTTTGATTTTGCAAGTGTTTAACCCTTTGTACTCGAACATTGATTCGCTAGATATACTCTTCATTTTCTAATGAAATATCACTGGTAAGTTTTATAACTAACATCAATATAAATAATATAGAAACCAACGGATAGAACTATTCTATTTTAACGTCTCATGAATAGTTACGTTAAATGAACTTTAATATTATACGTCACACTTTGTCATTTTGCTGTATCAAATCAAATGGCGAGTCACCCCTCGAGTGCAAAGAGTTAAATTATGAAGGCGTGTTTGCGAGAGATCTTTAATTCAATTTGTTTATTTGTATAAATACAAGACTAGCAGACTATTTGAATCTCAAGAAACGTATTGTTCGAATTTTTACGAAAAACTGGAAATAAGTTACTCTAATTGATTGGTAGTTTGTATTAATCGAGTGAATTATAGTATTTCGATTTGGTTGGAGGTCACTGGTGACTCCAATGGCATTCAACGTGTTGAACCGAGCTAAAAATCACCACGAATCCCACCCGCCATTATCCGCCGAGAGGCTAATTAGCGTCACGGTGACAGTCCCGAGAAATGTCGCATCTCTTCCGTTCCCGCGCGGACGTCATTACACGGATACACCAGGAAATCGTTCGACCCGTCATTGTTCGCGAGCTGATTGAGTTCGCGTAACCTGGCATTCAGATCGGCCGGATCAATTATCCGTTGACTGAGATTTACGAGCCGGCTACCTTCGCCGAGGAATCCGTCGAAGGTGGAACCGTGAAGGCAAAGCTGAGCCCGGTGTGCCTCGCCTCTTGCGGTCGTTAACAATGCCAGGCGTTGGTTAACACGTCCGCTATCGCCATTTGTTTCGGTTACAGCCTCCTCGGCTACAATGTTCTGTCTGAATTGGAACGTTACCGGTCAAATGCTTGGAAAAGGCGCGACGATGAAACTTGATTAACGCGTTAATAATTGGGGGCGTCTTCAATCGTCTGTAGAAAATGTTGCAAGAAAATGAACTATGCACGATAGTACCTGTACAATAGTATAATATATAGCAGCTATATAATATGATATATAGCAGCCATATATAGTAACACAGTCTAAATAGATATTATAGAATTGGTAAGATACGAAATATTTAACACTAAAACTACCGAGAAGTTAAATTGACATTTCGAAATTCCTCTATAGAAACTCCAAGTATGTATCTATTAAAGCATTAATTGGTAAAAAGACATCATGGAGTGGGTCATTTTGACTCGTTCGGTAGTTTTACCATCAAACAACTGATATACACAATTCAGCTTCATCTGCCGAAAATTTTGCAAAATATCAAAGAATCTCCGTTCGCAAAGTGTTCATAATCAATTTCACAAATCTTCATTTCGTAATATCACTTGTCACCGTGCAAGCTAACCTATGCGTACACAGTGATAAGTAAATACATTTTACAGGAACTATCGATATTTATTTAAAAGTATTTTAATGTCGACGTCAATTATTTAGGAACGAATTTAGTGATAATTAAAGTGTTAACACTTTCGACGAACTTTAGAAATGATATTTAGGTTCTTATGATTATTCTCAATTGATATACGTCGATGCTGTGTTCAATTTAAAATGCTTCACAGGATGACGAGTCCCGAAATTCATTCAATTCGAATCTTTCAATTCTCTACATTTTCGTTTCATCACGGTGAAGATTCCGTTTCTGTTTTAATTCAGTGTTTAAGGTTTCTTATTGAGTGAAAATATGGAAGGGGAAGGAAGCGTGCGTGTGGCCTCATCGCTGAACAGCACTGGTTTCAGTGACCCTGAGCGATCAACAGCTTCTACCGCAACTATAATTTTCATTGGGAGAAGAAAGATCTGGTACACCGACGTAGAACGGAACTTCATCATCAGTCAAAGTTCAAAATCGTTGACGTAACAGAGATTTAGAGACGAACAAACGAAGCGGATAATCGTTGACGTAGGGCTAGATTTATCATCAATAATAGTGACACTAGTGTTCGGTGTCGTTAGAAGTCGAAGTTCAAACTGATTAGAAAAATATATAGTCTGATTAATGTTGTCAGCACTTTTTTTTTTATCTCCCATTAGTCGAAACTATTTTAATGATACTGCTCATTATATAGTTATCGCGCAGTGGATTTCCATGCCAGAATTATGCGTCCGAACCGTGCGACAAGATGGCCGTCCGCGGATTTCAAAATTCATTTGAAAGGAACAAATATAAATTTGCAGGTCCCGCAGTGTTTCGCGTTACAAAGGACAGTGGATCGGATTGATTGATCCGGTCCTTGAATGTTTATTTATAGTAATTCGTTTATACGCCGGCCACTCGAGCTTTTCGAGTGCTGAAACGAAATTCTATTCAACCGTTCGATCACTCTCGCTCAATGAAAGCCACTCGGACGATCTGATTCTTTGTCAGGTTGTTTTACTTCAAAAAATCAGAAACCAAAGTAATTCTCATCGATGAAACAATCAAATATCCGAGACATCGAGTTTCTTCTATTTTAGGTTAGGTTCAGAATGAGACTTGAAACTTCTCTCTTTTTCTTAGAGATCGCAGTTTAATAAACATCTCGATTAAACCGCAACTTTGACAAACCTTTCCTATAATTTACTTAAACTTTGTGTTTACATTACATCCATGATCATTGAGGAACTAAAGCATTCAACGAAGATCGAAACAAAATGGAAACTTCTCGAGGAAACGAACTATTTCTTTGTTTTCCAGGGGAATCGGAAATCGAAGTGATTAAGTCATCGAATCTAATCGCCGCGATGCACACTCGCGATGTTGTTGATCAAGGTTGGTGAGATATCGTTAAAGAATTTCGATTTTTGTGGAAGAGGGAAGGTCGGTTAATCGATTCTAAGCAGCCGCGTTGCGCAATGACGCGCGCCGTTCGCACGGGTTCCCATCGTCAGATTATTCTTTTTCCTTTTCCTTCGCTTCTTATCTCTGCGCAGCTGGGGGGGCAGAAATCCTACTGACGATTAATTCAGTTCGATCGCAGAAGTGCAGGGTTATCACGCGAAATTCTCGTTTAAATTTGTACCGTAGTATTTTAATGCCGGATCGACTTCCCGATAAGACAACGAGCGTACTATCGTCCGCGGAGCACAGGACGCTTAATACATCGGCTTATCTCGGACGCGATGGGCGCTGTATCGGTATTAAAGATGCGATAGTCTTCTGTAAACACTCCGAGTGGGAACATTTGAACCAACGTCCTATGGGATGCTCAATTTTTAACTAGAAGAAAGTATCACTACGTAATCTAAGAGATTAGCATGAAGGTTCCATTAACCTTCTGAACTGGAAGGTTTCTTTGCTAGATATATTCCTCGGTTCCGAATGAAATATCAACGGTATTATTTATAATTAATATTAATACAAATTATATAGGAATCAAGAGATAGAACTATCGTATTTCAATGTTTCATGGATAATTACATTAAATGAATTTTCGGAATTTATAATTTTGCTGTATTTAATCAAATGACGATTGTGTCGCTTCTCGAGTGCAAAGGGTTAAATTAGAATGTTTCTTTTTCAGTTCTCTGTTTTATACTGAGTTCACTAAATGCATCGATTTGATGCATATTGGATTTTATAAATATTGTTTGGTAAATTGAGTTTGATTAATTCAATTATACGATTAATACTAAATTATACGATTATTACTAATTTGTAAGACATAAATGAACGATCAGTTTTTCTAGGATCAATAGAATAGGTGTACTATAACTATACGTAAACCTAGTGTCAATAATATCAGGTATAATGTTGAATATTGAAATTTGAATAACATCAACCAGTCAAAATTTTATTCATATAAGTGAAAATGTAATACTTAGAAAATGAAAAATGATTATTATGAATTATGTAGTTGGTACTGGAGGGTTATAGATTCTCTAAGAAGTATTCAAGAAATTGACAAACTTGGCGAACGAGTCAGTACTGTCATTGTACAGATTCAAACTAGAAATAGAAAAATTAATGGATTCATGAGACTACGTTTAATCATGTTGAAGTATTCTAAATAAGCTTCTCTCTAAGTAATTTAGGAGGGACGTAAAATTGAAAACGTTGTTTTGACGATGGTAATTAATATTGCCACGCGATGAAATCACTCGAGGTTTCATTAATACGTTCGCATTAACACAAAGATTAATTTCACAACAAAAGTCTCCTGTGCGGGTGACGTGGCAAACAATGTGTTAAACAGTAGAGATAATACTCTTTCACAATTGTCACGTTTTCTCCTTTGTGCGTCATTGTCCATGACGATCATTCTTCCGTATTTTGCGTTGAAAGATTCGTTGGTCGATCGTGCTAATGTTTCTGATATGTTTTTGTTGCAGTGACGAGGAACACGGAGAAAATCTCGAAGGAGCAAGACGAATTCTCGACGAAACCCGACGTCGAGTACGTCACGCTGATGAAGCTCAGTCAGAATCAGTACGAGGATCCACGTGAGTTAACGATTTTATCTGTAAACTTGATCGACGGCTGGTTTCTTCGACGTTTCGAATGTCTCGATGACTTAGAAAGCGTTATCTTAAGCGAGGATTTAACCTATTAACGACGAAACTAGTAAGAGATTAAATTGACTTTTTTACTGTTTTGGAAAGCAGATTATATTACCATCGATACTAATGTTTCCATATCGATATAAATCTAAAGAAAACGTTCATATGAAATGACCATTTAGAAGTCCTATGAATCTTCGAGTATAATTCCACGTCAAATTATTCAAATTCATTTCTTGTCTTAGAGCAGTAATTCTTTTAGTCATTACATCACTGTATTGAATGTGTCCAATGAATATTAATGAAGAAATGTCTTTACAATTTTGTAAGGGCGAACGGTTTATTCTCACGGTTACGATTTCATGCTGACTGATGCATATATAGTTGTTCATATTTTAACTGGTGGGTTTGCATATGAAAATCAGTGAAAGAAACATACTATAGAATTATATCCCACGTGTCTGTTTTCGAGTAACGAATATTTAAAGGAAACCTTCAAAATTATTAACATTGGCTCACGTTCTATTTAAAAAATATCAGATGTTCCTCGAATAATCTCAGATTTCGTTAAATTCATATTCAAATATTAAACAGTTTCTTTAATCAAGTACAGTTTGAGAAATAAAATAAATATATAAGACGTACAACAATGTGTAAGACGTAAAACAGTTTGTTTATTTATTTCCATGCGCGTATTCACCGCGTGAAGTATGGAGCCACGTTTATGAATGACCCTGTACTTTTTGATACCATGATAAGGTCGCACAAGGTCAGACAAGTGACATTTATACGAGCATTCGACAAATTATGTCGGCTGGTCCTGCCAGAATCGTTCCATTCACTGGCGGCGGGAACCGCGCGCGAGTCTGTGACCGAAGAATGCGAACGACAGGAAAAAAGAAGAAAACGAGAAACGAATATCAAATTCGTGGATCGCGTTACGTTTTTCGCGGACGTGTTAAACGCTTACGCGTGGTTTACGATATTAACTCGATACTTTTTTGACAAATAATTTCGTTAACATCGTACAACCAAATTTAATCTTAACACTAAAACTACCAGACGAGTCAGAATCACCAACTCCCGACGTCTTCTTTTCGCAATTATCGAAAAGATAACAAATGTTTCTCTGAGAAATTATTAAAGAAATTCAGCACCACGTAAATTGAAATGTAAATCAATTGAAGTCTTGATAGGCGTACTCTTGAAGTTTCTATAAAGGAATTTCAAAAAGACAATTTAACTCTTGGGTTGTTTTAGTGTTAACTCGATGGAATTAGAAAGAAGAGATTCATGGATTGGTAATTTACGTGTGACTTATCATATTATGTATTGCGATCGATAATGAATATTATCACGCATCGAAATCAATGGAGTTGCCAACATATCAAGGCGAGAAGTAACAAATTCTTATAATTATTCAGATACACTTGCATTTACAAGTTTTTTACGAATGAGCTCAACTAGTTGGCTCATTAGTGTAAATATATTCCAGGACAACTTGCTGACAACTCGATCGTTATCACTTATGAATAAATTCAGATCGAAAGCCATATTAAAATGCAGCCTTTAAATATATCATATTTCATGAACAGTTTGTAGTAGATATACTTCAGATTAAAGTTCCTTATAGTACATTTTGCTAACGAATAAACTTGATTCCAAGAAACAGAATTTACTTATAAACTTCATCGGACACATTAAACATACTTCTATATTATTAACACTAAAACTAGCGAGCAGTTAAATTGACATTTCGAAATTCCTCTATAGAAACTCCAAGTATGTATCTATTAAAGCATTAATTGGTTTACAATTCAGATTGCGTATTGCTAAATCAATTCCTTGAATAATTTCTCAGAGAAACATCTGTTATATTTTTAATCATTGCAAAAGGAAGAAATCAGAAATGGGTGATTTTGAACCATTTTAGTTTTAGTATTAATCTCACGTACCTACTAAAAATACAATAACAGATTCAAATTAATCAGAAACGGTTACTTATCCATCAAAGTTACACACATGTTCAACAAGTCACAATGAAACTCTCAAAAATGGGCCATTTCGACCTATTTGCTAGTTTTAGTATTAATTTCATGTATCTACTAAAAATACAATAACAGATTCAAACGAATCAGAAACAGTTACTTATTCATCACAGTCTCGATGAAATTCTCCAAATTCGGGTGTTACGGTACTTCACACTCGGAATCAAATTTGTTTACATTGATAGCCAATATTTTCGTTCGCGAGTAGATCGTTCCCGTCGCTATTTAACCGCGGAGAAGAACAGAACGCGATTCAAATTAGCGCAATTAGACTCGCGGTGCGTTCCGATGCATTTCGATGATGCGACAGAGGGAGCACGTGATCCTCGAAGCGTACCGACCCCGCTTAAGCGCAAGGCGGCCGCACCACCTTTATCAGGATCACGTTCGCCTCGTTAAGCTCTCGATTGTGCGGGACGAGGCGGTGCGTGCACGTTTCGCGCAGATAAAACGCGGACGCGCGGGGGCTCGGGGGCCAGATATTTATAAAGGACACGATCGATCCGCGATCACGGTTCTAGGAAGCGTAAATCGCGGAATGCCCGCCATACCTGCGCCCCTATTCATCGGCTTTTTCATTCTCCCGTAACGAATTACGGCTAATCCTGATTTAACAGCGAAAATATTGATGCTGATGCGACCGTAAATTGGCTGCTGCATGCGAAATGTCATCTTTCGGGGAATCCGGATTTTTTGCTCGGCGCTTGTTTAGCATTTTGTTTTTAATCCACTTGAAGAGAAGGCGGTAAACTGTGAAATATTGCCGACCAGATCATAAAATCGCTTTTGTGGAGTAGAACTGAGCGAGAGTAACTTTTATGTCGGATTATTTATTTCGTATGACAAGGACTTTTCCTCGGTGTGTAGAAAGGATTTAGTAATACCGTTGTGTGAAGGATTCTTTTGTAATAAAGAAATGAAATTAGTATTGCACATAGGACTCGATAATTTAATTACTTGATACGATGTTTATTTGATTTATTTCTCTTTAATTAATACGCGAATAAGTAATTGTATTTTGCATCGAATAATCTTGATAAATTTACCCCGTATATTACAACAACGCGAGATTGGTGGTGGACATTTTAAACGGAATTTACCAAACATAGCTCAATTCCTTTGAATGCAAATGAAGTACTGTTCTTCTATTATCAATTATTACATTGTAGGATAGAAATAAGCGTAGAATATGCATAAATTTTCTCTGTCTTCGATAAATTATTACTGACAGAACTGTTCAATCGATTACAGTTGGAAGATAAATCATAGAGCCAAGGGGTTGATGAAATGTCGAAGCTTAGATTAAATAGTTAACCTTGTAAATAATCGGGAAATTCGATCCTCATTTAATTTCTAGCTATTTTCCACCGTTGAATCATTCGTCGAACATCGAAATTTACACGTATACGTGCGCTTTCCGATAATAACAGGCTGTTATTTATGCAAAGCTTGGGACGTGGCATAACGATAATTATCCCGATATCGGGGGGAGGGTGAGTAATGGGCAAAAATGAGTAGTCACGCAGCCGAGGAACAGTTAAGGAAACAGTAGTCTTCGTTGTAAAACATGTTTGCGGCGGGCTGTGAAACTAGATAGGTGAGCGTGGTCGAGGAAAAAGGATTGGTCGAACGGTAAACGGCGTCGGGGGGACGCGTCGCGTCCGCGCGGCATTTAACGCGACACGCGCATTTTGTCACGCATCGGCCGTTCGTTGCCTGCCAATTTCACACGGGTGTCAACGATTATCCGAGACAAACGGACTAGTTACTAACTAGCACGGATCCCTTATGTCTAGCGCGTGAGGTAATTGGCCTGTATGCAAACTCCGTCGTCCCTTGCATACATTACGGACCGCGCGCCGAGCTGGCGAGTCGGCGTGACTATTGTTCGTTTTATTGTTTTTGGAGTACCGTTATGTCTCGTTTAAAATAATCTCCTCGACAGAGGTGGTTACAATAGTTCGGTGCGTTTACGACTGAATGTTGAAGTGGGAACGTTTGCAATTGATCATGCTTTCATATTAGACAGTCTTGTCGAAGGTAACGAATATTTTCGGTAGAATGATTGCAATGGTTTGGTGCGTTTGTAACTGAATGTTGAAGTGGAAACTTTTGCAATTGATCATTCTTTTATATTAGGCGATTTTGTCGAAAATAACGAATCTTTTCAATAGAAATTATTGCAATGGTTTGATGTATTTATTATATGCAATTGATCATTTTTTTTTATCATATGATCTTGTTGAAAATAACGAATCTTTTCGATAGAAGTGAATAGAATGGTTTGATGTATTTAGGACTCCTCGGTGAAATGAAAACGTTTACAATTAATCGTTCTTTTTTATTAAGCTATTTTATAACGAATTTTTTTAATATGAGTGAATACAAGTGCTTATTGGTTTCACAGTTGAATGTCGGAATAAAGATGTTTGTTATGACATAATAAGAAAAAGTTTTAAAGATTGTTACGGATTTTTGACTCATAAGTAGAGTATTTTCTAATGTGATTATAATCCTAAGATTTAATCTAACGATTTTTTGAGATTATAGGGAATTATTGGACATCGGTAATAAAAATAATTGATCTATTTACAGCTGAGCAATTTTCTACAGCCAAGAGGCACGATAGTGGCCACTTCCGCCTTGCCACGGCGGAAATCTGGGATCCTCACCCCCAATACGACTTCACTGCCTTCGGCAAACGGTTTCGCTTGCGTTTGACACATGACTCCAGTTTCGTCTCACCGAATATTAAAGTAAGACTGAATTTCAATTTTGAAAGCAGATTGTATAAATATATATTCAAACAAGTCTAACATTTCACCGTTTCATTTATTATGCCTCGGAACCCTGCAGGAAGCAACAGGTAAAAAATTTAACTCATTTATTCCTTAAATAAATATACACATCCTTACATGTATTATAAATTATTTTATTAAATAATGGAATAATTTGTCAATATAATTTACTAATATGAAGACCTTCTGGCATCACAAGAGAATGAACACAGAACAGAATTTATCGAATTAACCAACCCAAACTTCGTTTATATTATTATTTTTCAAGATTTCATAATAATAACTGCATAAAGTGATGCCAGACGGTCCGCTTCAAACTTTCATTCCAGGGACGATGATTTAATCTATCCAGATACGCTTTTATCGTTGTTAATCCCATTATGTTATACGATGCTAGCGCGTTATTACTATGCTAATACACAAGATATCATCTTTGATGGTTCACCGGTGCACGCCGTTGAAACTTGCATAATACCTCTTCCGTACATCGGTGCTCGTAATAGCCGAGGTGTTAAAAGCGGCTGCGCGTGTAACATTATGGTTTTTAAATTGTTTTAAATGCTCCATTATGAACACCCGGATAGCCGTGCATTAAACATTGATTGTTCGCGAGACAAGTTTGCTTAATAGAAATTTTACTGGTCTCGCGCAACGAATTGTTAGCGTATCTGCTTCCTTTCACACATTTCGGATTCGAAGTTAATGGTTATCTACTACTTGGGCATATTTGCGAATAGTTTCTCTGTTTTTTCTTTCAAAGATGCTAATGTTAAAACTCAAACCTAGTAGTAACTGTCTACGGTTGCCAGATTTGCAAAGCGTTTACTGATTTTTTCTTGTTAAGTGTTAATACAAAATATATTTCAAAATAATTTAAGGGAAGCATGATATTAACCCTTTGCGGATGAATGTCGACATTTCGGTGAGATGAAATGTTCGCATTTGAAAGACTAAGTCGCATACAAATGATTTAATTACTCGAACAGCAACAGATCCGTGTATAGTTTCCTTTTTTCCTATTACTTAAGCAATTGATATGTAATTTAGTTTGATCTGCTGAAGGTTCAGTATATTTCAAAGAATCTTCGTCCGCAAGGGGTTAATATCGAAGTGATTCGAATATTCAAGTAATATCCACGTAAACACGTACGATGCGCATCGTTAACGGTTTGTTAATGAAGTTTTAATGTAACGGGCCGTTGTTAAAGTCATTCTTGACGTTCCCCGTTCGCGAACGATCTTGGGATACGCGATTCCCAGAATCATTACCGGAATGAAAATAGAAGCTTCAACTTACAGTGTATTTTCGGATTGATTACACCGCAATTGTTTCTCGTTGTTTGTATAGATAACTCACATGGGCGCTAACACGACCAGGAGAGAACATCCGGGCCATGAACTTGGATGCTTTTACAGCGGCACCGTGGACGACGATCCTAACTCCTACGTTACTGTCAACCTTTGCCACGGAATGGTGAGTCGAACAGAACATTTGGTTTCTCGGTGTTAGTAAAAAACAAATTGGAAACTTCGAATCTAAAATAGGTGGCACGCACATCGATAAAATTGCATTTAAAACTGACTGAAGGTGGAAAGAGCGTGCTCGAAGTTTTAACAAACTTTACGTAGCTAAGAAACAACTTGAAAACTTAGAATCTAAAATAGGCGGTACGTACATCGATAAAATTGCATTTAACCCTTTGCACTCCGAAGTTTCTCACTAGAAATATTTAACATTTTTTGACAAAACGAAGACGATATTCTTTGAAACTAACTTGCAGTGAAATCAGAAGTACATTGAGGAACAAAGCTATTTTATTCGAATATTTCACGTATCGAGGCATTATACAAAGTTCAATATTAAACATCAGATTTTATAGTTTTATTGCGTCAGATCACGTGGTGACTGAGAGTCACCTCTCGAGTGCAAAGGGTTAAAACTGACTGAAGATGGAAACAGCGTACTCGAAGATTTAACAAACTTTACATAGTAAATACTTATTCTAAGACTGAACCAATTTTATATATCGATCATTGGTAGAAAGATATCACGAAGCTGAATACAAAAACAATTTAAAATGATTCTTCCTTAAACGTTTTCGTTATCCCCGGATCTCGAGCAGACTCCAGAAAAACCCATCCAGAATAATAACCCGTGCTGCGCTTTATTAAAAACCGTGGATTTCCAGAATTTCTGAAAATATCGGATGTAGCCTAAATAAGAACGAGCGGCGCGAAAATATTAGTGGTCGGTTGTCGTCTAAAAATACATTTCTGCCCGACGCATCCTCCTTAGAAGTCATCGTCCAAGTAACCTCTCTAGGGACTCGTCTCCCGCGAATTCCTTTTGAGTCTCGTGTTACCAGAATGAAACAGACTTGCGAAAATGCCTAGCGCGTTTCCCCGCCAGCGTCCGCACAAAGACGTATTTAAAGTGCTTTGCATAAACAGGCATTTTTCATGGCGTTGCCTGTGTACCGCTCTCCGCAGCTCGCCAGGCCGCCATTGCGTACCGTTGCTGCACGTGCGAACTTGGAGTATTATAAAATCTTCACGTCTAAACATAATAGAGGAACGTGACTGATTCGATTGATCCGAAAAAATGAATCTTTTTCGTGAAATAATCGACCCAAAGGATTAATCCACCGAAGACTATTCTGCTTATTGTCGGCAAAGTTCCCTAACCTTACTTTTCGAATGCTATTTCATAGTTTGAAATCTAGTAAATTGGACACATTTGATTTATTGCGAATCTCAGAACTGTCATCGCTTGGTAACGTTGGATGTAAAAGATTGAAGGCACCTGGTTCATGGTTTCTAGGTATTAGAGGATCGTTATTGCTGGAACTTGTAGCAATACTGGGTTCTATTAATCAAACTTGAAAATTGATTCTCTTACAGCGTTAGAATAAGAAAATTAAAAATATCTTCTTCTCTGTCTCGCTTCTAAGTTCTATTAATCAAATTCTTCATCTCGATTATTCGATAATGTCGTAGTTGCAGTTAGAAAGTCGAAAAAACATGTTCGAGGAGCCCGGGTCATCAGACCCGGCATTCCTAAAGTCTACACCGGAATCGGGTTGTATTAATCAAGTTGCCGGGTTGGGAAAATTTGACAATTGTGGTCGTAGAGGACGATAACAGTAAATCTGTTATTTCTGTGCCACGGGCAGCCTCGGTATTCCGAAAACCAGTCTTGGACTAAGAATCTACTGACGACGATTACGTACACGTATAACACTTCGTGCTGTTAGACCTGGTAACTTAGGAACGCTTCCACATCATCGATTAGGTAATCCGAAGGACAGGCTAAGAGACATCAAACGGAGTCCTCTGTTTTTTTAACACGGGTCCAATCAAGTTTTAAAAATTTTATGGCGACACATCTCTCGGGATAAACGTACATACCCACTTCGCCGGTTCTCCGCAGTCATCAAGCGAGCGGCTCACTCATCAACCATAAAGTTGAACGTCCATTAAACGATTCCCGGATTCTTAATAAAGATCTTTCTAATTCTAGAAGCGTTTAACCTACTTCCGTAGATGCATTTCGGTCTGCGACATGACTTTCGACAACTCTCGAGACCAACTTGACAGGCGAAATCGAAGATTTCGCGATTTCCCAACTGGCCTCGGGTTTGTAAACAAGTTAAGGGATTGTTTCGGTGAATTATTGATTGCATTCTTGATCCGTTATAGGACAATGTCTGATCGGACACCGCGAAACACTGATGGAATCCGACAAGAAGAATTTATGGGATTGCAAGGCAGCCGGGAGTCGCTCGTGTTTTTACGGCCGCATTCCCGGCACATTTCGCGTCGAGCACGTTAGTAGGTGGCACACGGTCCAGATTGGACATTTGCCATGGTAACGCTAGAACGAGTTTCCGGATTATCTTGGCAAACGGACCGCGAAGTGGCGCCCGTACACCCCGGCCGAGTTCGGCAGTGAATCCTCGATGATTTTCCCGCCAATCGATTTCTCATCGGATCAAATTGTCTGCTAAAAATATAGCCCCCATTCATCAGCAAACAAGATTCACGGAATCTGCGACAAGTCGCACCAGTGAATCAGGATCCCGTCACATCAACCTTTTACGTTCAAAACAAACCTCGATAATTTTATGGAACTTTGAACGCTTTGAAGAAATAGAGCTTTTTAAATCGCCCGCCTTAAACTTAAAATTCAAAATACGAAACCTGCTTCAACGACGGATTGGCGGTAGCAGATTCCACATCAATAAATAATGAATTCTTACATGAATGCTAACTCTATAAAATGATAGCATATTTCTCATTACATGCTCAAACTTCATTTGATTATTCAATTATGAAGTGATAATGTACCGATTACTGGAGGATTGTAACGTACAGGGAATATACACTTTCAATTAGAGCGAAAAGGCGATTACCTGCGATTACCTGAGGAGTTTTCAACTGGCCAGGACTCGAGTATCCTGCAAGTAAATTATGTCTCGGTTGACTCGGGGCAATTGATAGCGTTATTTAAACGTTTGAACGAGCCACTCTGTATTTCCGTCGCCAATGGAAACGGAATACGTGATAACCGCGAGTTATCCAGCCGGCTTGTGAATCGATCTACCGAACGCGCGAGATTAAACGTGCCGACCGCGCGCGGCAGCTTGGTAAATTTGCTTTCATAAGTTACGAGCGGTAGTCCGTCGCGGCGTTAGCGCGGCTACAGGACGAATTTTCTGTCCGTTTCCGCGAACGCTGCGCATAGATGCCGCGATAATTAATTAGTGGCGCGTTACGGAGACGCGAGAGGCCTCGAACCTAACGTCTAAATAGGCGGAATTTATTAATTTCATTCGTCCCCCTCAATTTGCATTCGAGTTACCTCGGACAGCGACGCCACAGCGGCAGCCATTTTGAACTTTGCGTCCCGTTTCGTGAATAGCCATTCGTGAGCCGGAAGTATCAATTTCAGGCTGTAAATACTTCCGAGCCGAAAAATGATCTTTTAAAGTGGATGTAAATGTGATAAACCGTACTGCACGGTGCATATTTTATATGAACACGTATTAATAGCGTCCTTTGAAGTTCGGTTAGGTCCGGCGGCCATCTTGTCGGGGGAACGAGTCTTTTGATGGTCCGTATTATTAAATCAGTGAAAATGCGAGGTAATAAAGAAAAGCGGGTCTCTCGTTTGCGAGAAGTTTATTACTAGCGTAAAACAATGAGCCGAATAAATTGAATTGAATGCCAGATTCCTTTCATTTGAATGGCTTCATTTGAAATTAATTTCTTAAGGGTCCAGCGCCTTTTGATTTTCGCAGCCGCTTTCGGTCGCTCTAATAAAAACCGTCTAGTCATCAACGTTTCTTTTTAAATCGTCGATGTTCACGACGAACGAGCGTCTGCGACGTCCATTTGATTTCACGAAATCCGTCTTGCCCGTGTTGTCTGCGATCACTGCAGATGCAATTCCTCGAATCGGCCGCGTAATGGCGAAGGTTTATTGCCGAGTTTGCGTGCGAATTTCCGCGGAAGGAAAATAATGAACGAATATCGACGAATGCAGACAATATTTACGTGTTACCGACGAACGCGTTCCTAGAATTGCGGATTTACTTCGTTTTGACTCGTCATTCTCGGTGCCAAAAAAGTAAAAACCGCGGAAACAATTTCATTTATTAAGAATATGTACGAATAAAATATTCATTTAATAATTCAATGATAGTATTAAGTGTTATCGCTGTGGGTACTGTTTAAAAGAATCCCGAAAGGAGAAATCACCTATGGAAAACGACTTTTTCATTGGAAAAACACGTTGCAACTTTAAATAATTTTATATAAACGTACGGTATGAATAAGCGGAATAATTCGCTTATCTGTGCAAATGGGTTAAGTCCGTAACAGATCCCTTATCCGTAGCTACCTCGTTAGAGAGCGTTACGGTTGACTGTTAGCTGTCACCGGCTATCACTGTTACCATGCTCCTAACGAATCGAGGAAGACCAGAAAATCGCGTTACAGGATGTACCTTTAATTGGCAGGAGGTTGTAACCGAGTCAGTTAGAAGCGCAACTCTGCTGCTTTCCGATCAGCCAGCTGATTTATCGGCCGCGGACGTCTTCCTTGCATCTTGCTCGACTTTCAGTGTAACGCTCGCATTTCAAGGAGCCAGCTTCTCATATTTTTCATTTTATTTTCGCAGTCTCCTTTCCTGTAAAAGAAACACAAAGTCAATACCTATTCCCAACCCGAAGACAACCTATAAAATTCCATTACGACTTATCCAATATCCACTTACGCCGCTATTTCCAATGTTATTGTTTCCTTCAAAAAAATTAGCATAAGCCTGAGACAGTTCGACCACATTCCCGTTAACTTCCAAACATCAATTCAAGTTTACACCTCAATTACGATTCCCCAATAATGATCGGTGCAAAATATACGACAGACCGATGCACTCTTCTCATTCAAACGAGAATCTACGTATTTCAGACA